AGGGATAACTGAGCTACACCCCAGGGTTTTGAACCTGCTGGCTGCCACCTTCCCGTTCCTGGCTGGATTCTGCTTTCCCTTGATTTTGGCTTGGTTTTGAGCTTCCATGGCATGGGGGGACCACCAAGGCAAGGCTGGGTTTGGAGCTCGGCTCCGCCGGTCGCAGCGGATCCGTGTGGGTGAGAGCGTTGCTGTTTAATCTGGGCGGGAGCTGGGGCTTGGGGCTTCTGTTTGGTTGTCATCCCACTCCTTTCCCAAGCTTGTCATGTTTTTTATACAGCGTGGCACTCGGGATGGGGGTGGGAACATCTTGGGAAAGCCGCAGAGCGGATCCGGGGAGATGGAGGGAGATACTGAAAAGCAGCTGGGGCTGCTCGTGCCTTCTCCTGCTGCTCTTGTGCTGTCAGGTGGTTCACTGGGTTGCTATCCAGTTAGAGCTTATCACTGGGAAGAGCTGAAACCCTTCCTAGGGCGGGAGATGATCCTGCTTGGAGCGGGAACGTTGCTCAGAGTGCATGGAATGCCCAGGCAAGGTTGATCTGCCGGGGCTGAGGTTGCCCTGCTGACCTATTGAACAAATCACTACAGAAATTCATTTCCAGACTTCCAGCTTTACTTTATGGGATGCTTAAACCCTAAAAAAAAAATCATTTTGGTAAGTTTTTTTCCAGAAGGTGAATGAACAGCAAGGTACAGTTCCAGTCTGTTCCACCAGCTCCAGGTGGAATTGTTTCACGAAATCACAAATTCTTGCCAGGAGCTTTGCAGAAAGTCACTCCTGTTTGGTGTAGTTTGAGGAGCCCCTATGCTGGTCTATAATTGCAGCACAATTCTTATAATCTGCTCAAGTTAAAAAAAAAAAAATCAGTTTTTTTCAAAAATAAGGATAACTTGCTCTTAATTTTTGTTTGCTGGATTGTTCAAAGATTGTAGGGTAAGAATGTTGTGGGAGCTTGGATTTGTCATAAAGACAAATTATGAAGATCATGCAGATTTTTGAAAGATATGACCAGGTATGCTGGTGCCTTGAATGTAGTGTGTCTTTTAACTTCCATGACCTTTCCATGGAAGTATTAGAGACACCATCCCTTAAATAGCAGCATTTTATTCAGGGGCAGTTCCTTCATGGTAATGCAGTGTCATTTATCTATATGCTTTGAAATTTTAAAAGGAAAAAAAAGGTCAAAGAGATGATAAGTGTTGAAAATCATGGAATCCTAAACTGGTTTGGGTGGGAAAGGACCTTAAAGCTCATCTTGTTCCGTGGGCAGGGACACCTTCCACTAGCCCAGGTTGCTCCAAGCTCTGTCCAGCCTGGCCTTGGACACTTCCAGGGATGAGGGACCCACAACCTCCCTGGGCAATGAATGACAAATGTGGCTAAAATACAGAAAGCAGAAGATCCTTCCTTACCCTTTGAATTCATTAAAAACTAGTCATGCCTGCAGAGTGCTACAGGGAATGCTGAGAAGGTGGTCGCAGAAGGGATAAAAGTTAAAGTTACACAACTGTGGAGGATTATACAGTGGTCTGTTCCTGGGTGACCCAGGTGACTTTATGATGGAAATGAATAAATGGTTTGTTTTAAACAGGTGGAAAACTTTCCTGTGGCTACAAGAGACCTTCAGATTATGTGGTTGTCAGCCACGTGGGCTTGAAATACAATAGAAAGGATTCAGCAATACAGGGCAAGGCTTAGAATAAGAATACCTGGTGTTTAATCCTAATTTTGCCACAGGCATCTTGACCTTGAATTAGTCACCTTCAGGCACTTGAAGCACTGGCAGCAGGAGCAGAGCCTTCAGGAGGCTGTTCCTTGTCTTGCATGATCGCAGTGGGTGGGATTGCCACGCTCTAAAGGAAAAAAGGAGGGAGGGGGGAAAGGCTTTTTGGTGTTTAAAGTGGCTGTTAACCTAATAACCTGTGCAAATTAAAAGATGCAGGAGCGCTGAGTTCGAAATTAAAGTGGTTGTTGTGACTGCAGACATGAAAAGGTCCCGTGTAACTCGGTGACCCGCGGGGTGAGAGCACGGGCTGCTCCCGCTCCGCCGGGGTATGTGCTGGGAGTAAGGCTGGAGAGGAAAAAAAAATACCTCCTGCTTGTGTAAGCAGTGGGAAAACAAGCAGACACTTTATACTCCAGAAAGCCCAGTGTAAGCCTCAGGAAATTCCTGCATTCTTGATTTTTCATTTTGCGGCGGAGGGCTCGCGGGGCGTGTTTTCCAAAGATGAGCAAGGTCGCCCTTCTCCAGCCCAGCGCCACAGGACCCGATAAGCTGGAGCTGAATAGCTCATTGTTCCCTACGGGAGCCCGATCAGCTGTCACTGCTCCCCTCCAAAAACACTGGGTTTATTTAGAAAGGGAAAGTGCTGACGGCGCCTTTCGTACCCAAGGCAAAGTTCCTGGTTCTTGCTGCTGTTCGGGCAGAACCGCGTGTGAAGTGTCCCACCTCGAGAGCTGAGGGCTTGAGCTTCCCTGTGATTTTATAGTTAAGATCATAGAATCATAGAATCACAGAATCAGCTGGGTTGGAAGGGACCTCCGAGATCATCAAGTCCAACCCTTGATCCAACCCTGCCGTGGTTCCCAGCCCATGGCACTGATGCCACATCCAGTCTGTCCTTAAACACCTCCAGGGATGGAGAATCCACCACTTCCCTGGGCAGCCCATTCCAATGGCTGAGCACCCTCTCTGGAAAGAAATTCTTCCTAATATCCAACCTAAACCTCCCCTGGCACAGCTCAAGACCCAGCCCTCTTGTCTTGCTGATGGTTGCCTGGGAAAAGAGACCTTGCTTTGTAAAGTCTTAATGGCAAAGCCCCAGGTGGAATGGGGGTGTCTGGTTTGCATTCACCTGGCTAAAGGTGTCACTTGGCAAATATTTGGGTGGTTGTGTGTCCGGGGCTGGAGCTGAGTGGAGATGTGTAGAGAATATGTGGAACATCAGCAGCAGATTTTGACAGAAGTTTTGGCAGATCTGATGTGTGTAAATATCCATTCTTTCCCCGTGCCCCTCCCAGGCCCTGCCAGTCCTGAAATACTGGAAGAAACAACAAAGGCATCTCAAAACCAAAGAACTCTCCTAAGTTGCAGTGAGTGCAGTGTGCAGGTTTTACCTGCTGTGGTCCTGCTTCCACGTGCCACCTTCCCTGAGGCCCGTGGGTTTGATTAAAGAAGTACATGGACAACTCAGGCCGGTGTATTTGTGTGTACTTGTGTTTGCTGATGAAGAAACACAAGTTTTCTGTTTCCTGAAATTCTCTCCTGGGGGAAAAAAATAAACCTGACCAGCTTTTCCCCCTTCCTCTACTTCATCCCATGCCATGACCTTGCTGCTTGTGTTCTCTCCTTGCTGTGGAAGGCCCTGGGCACAGTCTGGGAGAAGTGGAACTACCAAATTAAAGTGCTAATCGAGCCTGAAAATGCCACATTCATGCAGATTGTGATTTTCTTTTAATTTTTTTTTTGGAGGGGCAAGTCTAACTAGAAGCTGTAATTTTATTTTGGGTTTGGGAGTCCCTAACATAAAGATGGGTCCCCTAAAACTGCTCCCACAGATGTGAGCAGGATTCGAGGCAGCTGATGCTCAACAGAGCATGGCAGGAGTGAAGCCACGGAGGTCCAGATGGTTTGCTTTTTTCTGGGCAAAGGGACAAGCACGCCAAGGAGCCAGGCTGGCCTCTGAGATTATGTATTTCAGGAATTAGCCATGAAGGATTTGATTAAAAAATTGCATTTGGGAAATGATCCCTTCCCCACTTTCAGCTGTGGCGACAAACTCGCAGTCGCAGCGTGTCGATGGGAAGAAAAGCTGTGAGTGCTGGAAATGTGAATTTTAGTTATTTTATTGCTGGTTCTGGATTCAGCTTGGAACAGCACAGCTTGGAAAACCTCTGGAAAGAGCAGCACTAACAGTCAGGCCTCTCTACAGTTTGACTGCTCAAAGACCTTGAGATGAAAGTGCATATTTTATTGGTTTCATGTTGAGTTTATTGCCTGTATAAAAGCCAAATAACCTTTACTGGCTGCATCACTGAATATTTCTGCATTTTTAGACTGAGAGTGACACGCTTCTGCTGTGTTTTCTTGCCCTCTTTGACCGTGAGTGAGTCACTTCACTGTTCTGTCCCTCAAATTCAGGATCAGTGGGATAAGGAGGACACCTGGCTCTGTGCTAATGGGAGATGTTTTCATATTTGTGAAACGTTTGAAAACTGTTTGTAAAATATTGTGTTCATGTAGATATATTCATAATAATTACGCTGCAATTATGATGAATATGTGTTAATAATTAATATCATTAATTACAATATTAACACTTACATCCGTGTGCTTTACGAGTCCTTCAGACATAGATATGATACTTGCAGATATTTTTAAAAAGCATCTTCCTGGAGATAATTCCCTGCTGGGAAGTGCTGTCGTGTTGGCTCCCTGAAGGGGTGTCTTTTCTCTGTTTCATGGCTTGGTTTCTAACGAGAGCTGCACAGCTGGAGACTCAGTAACCAACTGAAGAATCCAAAATTGGTGCCTTCGGGGAGTGCCCCAGAATGTGCAACGTCTTGTTTCTGCATCAGGAATTGTCTGCAGAGGAATTTGATAGAAATTCCCTGAAGTGATTTTCGGAGCTGACGTGGGGTATTGCAGCATTTAGCCCTTTTTCCAGACCGAGATTCAGTACATTTTTAGGCAGTGACCACTTGTTCTTGATGCCAAAAATGCACTTGACACTTGTAACTGATGCGCTTTCCAGCAGTGAAGCTTTGCTGGTAGGTCTGTGCACCAAACTGCAGGTTTTTGGCTGAATTTCCAAGATACAACTGCAATCATTTTCTGTCTGCAGGTAGAGTCAATCACAGTGATGGAGCTTTGCTGACATGTCGCTAATGAGGGAACGTATTTTTAACTATATTTTCTTGGAGATTTTTGATGGTTTTGTTTTTTTTTTTTTCTCTGATGGGATTTTGTTTAATCTTTAGTGCTTTTTATTTGTTACAGAGATCCGTGCCCAATTGGTAGAGCAGCTGAAATGCCTTGACCAACAGTGTGAGCTTCGGGTCCAGTTACTGCAGGACTTGCAGGATTTCTTCCGCAAGAAGGCAGAGATTGAGATGGATTACTCAAGGAATTTGGAGAAGTTGGCTGAGAGATTCCTGGCTAAAACTAGGAGCACCAAAGACCAGCAATTCAAGTAGAGTATTTGCCTTTTGTTTTTGCCCTTTTTTCTCCCCCTCCTCCCTCCCCCAGGAGATTTGATTGCAAGGGTAGGAATGGGAAAGAGAGTTGATCCAGTGAATGTAGGGACCAGCGCTGCTGTGAATGTCAGAGCCAAATGTTTCCCAGGTTTGGGTTGAACACAGAACCCATTCCATGTTCCTGGAGGCTTATTTCAGTTATTCCTGGTAGGTCAAATGCTGTCAGTAGGGAATGAAATGGTAAAAATTGGCATGTCTAAAAGGCATAATTTTCTTGGGGAAGGTGGGCAAAGCTGTGCACCACGTTTGGGGGACAAAGCCAGGATTTCCTTCAGTGCCGGTGGCTTTGGTCTGTTTTTTGGGGTTTTTTTAATGGATGACTGTTTCCAATCTGTTTTATGCTGTCAGCTCTCTGTTTTCAATATCCCACACATACTCAGTGTGGGAGTTGAGTGTTGTATCTCTGCTACTATCACTTCAAACAGTAGAGAAACGGGGCCAGGAGTACTCCTGAGTCCAACAGAGCTGTGCCACTGAGGGCAGGGGAATCCCAAGGTACTAAGCTGATGGGACTCAGTTAAAATTTAAAGATGTCCTTATTAACAGTCAATTTTTCCCCTGCTTGAAGCATGAGGCCGAGTGGATCTGACTCTATTGCTGTGGTTGTTCCTGGTTTTTGGTTCTTCCCCACTTATCTGAGTTGGGATGATTAACATGTGTAGGAACGTGGTTTCATGGATTCAAGTCTTTCTGATTTACTCCTGACTCCTGCCAGGAGGTGCTTTTCCCAGGGAAGGGGGGGATGCAGGAGAGGACCTGTGGATGAAGAAGGGGCTGGTGCAGAGCCACCAGCCCGGCGAGGAGGTGACCGGCGCAGAGCTCCCGGGGTTGACATCTGGGCAGAGCACGGGGCTTGTTGGGTTTTGTTGTCAGGGCAGCAGCTGGGGAAAACACAACGGAGCTAAAGCAGCCTTGGGACCTGAATCATTTCTGCTTTGGACAGATTGGGCTGAGAGGATCCATCTGGGTCTGCCCCCGCCCAAAATGCGGTGTCACTTCGAGCGTTGTTTGGGTCAGGCTGTTCCCCGGGTTTTGTGTTTGGTTGTTGCTGTGTTTGCAGGGATGTGGGGATGCAGCAGCAGCTTTCCTGCTCCACCAGCAGCTCCTCTTGTGGAAGCCATTAAGGAGGCACCATTTTAGTTTCCTTTCTGTGCAGCTTTGATGTCGTTTAATTTAGTTCTCCTTTAAAACACACATTGTGCTGCGTTGTTGGGAAAGCCTGACTGCCCAGCAGAGCTGTTTGACAGGCTGGAGAAGAGTTATTCTGCTTATCTATAGACCTGTCATTGTCTGAAGTGTTTTTTCTTTTCCTCTCCAGTGCAAATGTTGTTACAACCATAAGCTTGTGTGTATTCTGCACATGCCTTTAAGATGGCACTAAAGAAATTATGCCTTGAACTGTAATTTTCCTTTGCATTATGATTGGTCTTTTCAGTTGATTTTGTTGTTGTTCCTGGTGAAAATTGAGGTGATTTCCTTTATATTACACCGTGTGAAACATCCCATAGAAATGCTTTTATATCCAGCTTCCAGTGTCTGGAAAGTTCCTATTTGGAGATTTAGAGTGAATGTGTAATGTGGAAGTTTTGACTGTAGTCAGACAGACTCCTACATGGTGTCATACTTCATGTGAATTAATACTTCATCCTAGCTGTGATACTGCAGGGTTTTAAATTTTTTATTTTTTATTTTTTTTTGCTCTAATGCGGTTTCCTTCTTGACCCCTGCCCTGGTTTTTGAGCTGTTTGTCCTTCAGATAAGATTTACAAAGTTGTACCTGGACAAAACTGACCTCAGGTATCCCAGCTGTGGAGTGTAGCCTGAATTGGAGAGGTGATTTTGTCAGCACATAAAACCTTAGCTTGAATTTCTGAATTAAATGTCGATGCTTTTCTGGTCAAGTGCAGGGCATTGCCCAAAATACTCTGAAAGCTGTTCATGAGCATCGACTTCAGTTTGCAGGGAAAGAGCTGATGCTGCTCAGGCTCCTCATTTCACTCACATTAAGGAGCAGAAAAATGACAGAAAAATACCTTGCTCTTGGAATATGTTACCCCTGCAAAGCCTGAGTCCCAAGTGTATGAGTTGTTAAGTTGGTCAAGAGTTGGAATAAGAGAAAAAACCAATTCTGTGGGCAATACTGGCCACAGCAGTGGCACAGGTCAAGCTGTCTGTCCTGGGCACCTCCATCTAGGACTTGTTTGGCCACTTGTCTGCTGTCTGCGACAGTCAGAGTTGTGTCAGAATCCCACAGGGATCAGTAAGGAAGCAATTCCAGTTCTAATTACCTCTCCTCACCACTGCCCTGTCTGAGCTGGGGAGACTATCTTGGCTGGTATCTCCTCTGGAGATGCTGAAGCTGTAATCTCCTTGGGAAGCCCCCAGAAGCCCGTTTGATCAAAGGCAGCCATCAGATCTCTGCTCCTCGGGAGCCTGGGATTACATGTCTGTGAGAGGAGCCCTGGGCTGTAATTGCCTGGCTCTGACCCTATAAATACCCCGTAATAGGCTGCTCTCCCCAGAACCTGGCAATTATGTCGGAAGGTACCGTGTCATTCAGGGCCTGCTCCCCGTGTCACTGGCCCTTTTTAGATCCCATAACACACGCTCAGGGAGGGAATGTGCCAGGCACTCACCCTGTAATTTGCATGTGCTTTCCTACTCAACAGCTATTATGTAATTGCCGAAATGCTCCGACTGTGATCGTTTCAGGGAACGCTGTCAAGGGCGGGAGGCTTCAGGCTGACCCTTGAAATTGGATTGTGTGGCTTCCTCCAGCAGCTGGAAAAAGGAACAGGCTTCAAGGAAAGAGCAGGGCAAAGGGCAGGCTGCTGGGGGGGTTCTCACAGAGGCTTTGCGTGGGGTTTGTTTTCCTGCCTCGGAGGGGGAGCCGGTCAGGTGGGCACGTTTGCACAGAATTCCAGAATGGTTTGGGTGGGAAGGGACCTCAAAGATCATCTTGTCCCCTTGCCATGGGCAGAGACACCTTCCACCAGCCCAGGTTGTTGTTACAAGCCCCGTCCAACCTGGCCTTGGACACTCCCAGGGATGGGGCAGCCACAGCTTCTCTGGGCAACCTGTGCCAGGGCCTCCCCACCCTCAAAGGGAAGAGTTTCTTCCTCATATCCAACCTAAACCTACCCTCTGTCAGTTTGAAGCCATTCCCCCTTGTCCAGTCACTCCAAGCCCTTGTAAATAGTTCCTCTCCACCTTTCTTCTCAGCTCCTGCAGGTATGGAGGGGCACAGTTAGGTCACCCTGAAGCTTCTCTCCTCCAGGCTGAACAAATCCAATTTCTCTCAGCCTGTCCTTGTAGGAGTATTTTCCATATGGGTTCTGAAATGTGGGCAGTTGGGTCTTTACAGCAAACTCTACATAGCTGGGGCTGGACTGAAAGGGTGTTTGCACAGTGCTCAGCTTGAAGCTTCACTGGGGCATCTTAAAATGATTTACAGAGGTAGGTGTGTGTTATTCTCATCTGAGATGTCTGAAGAAGGGGAACAGATTGATTTAGCCAAGGTGACATACGAGTTGATGGCAGTTGGATATATCCCAGTTTTACTTGCTTTTAACTCTCCACCATGGCTGTTAGACCTCACTTTGCCTATTCTCTTCTAAAAATGTGGGTTTTTTTCAGTCAGAACAGGCTATGAAAGAGTCATACACAATGTATATATTTGGAATATATATTATATATATTCCTCAGAACCCACTGGTAAATAGGAGTGGCACAAGGAGTGGAGGAAAAAAAAGGCATTTTATAGCCCAAGTCTTCTAACTCTGGCTGTTACAAGAGCTTGGTGGTCACAGGTTTGGTGTAGTCATTGCTCCTTAAAGATCTGCCTGAATAAGCTGTGTAGCAGGTAAATCAGAGCATCCACCTCACAGATGTCTCTTGGTCTGGGGGTCTCTTCTTGACTTCCAGCCCCAGAGAAGGGCTCTGTCCCACTCCAGTGAGACCCTGGGACCTTCAGCTCCAGCCTTCAATCCTCCTGTTTAACGTGATTTTTGTCCTAGAGGCATTTGACTATTCAAAAAGCCTAAAAACCGTGGCAAACCTTGAGTGATTCCTTTCAAGAGAGAAAATGGAAAAGAAAAAAAAAAAAAACTAAAACAGAAAAAGGAAAAAAAAAGTGAAAAGACAGTGCTATTTTAAGGCCATATTTTAAATCAAGATAATCTTTGGAAGCAGGACACTGAGTAGCAATTGTCAGCTGGAGAGCTGAATGTCCAGGATATCCCAGCATGAAATTCAGATGGCTTTCTGGCAGCCCTTGCCTTGAAGTAGAAGATGCAGAATAAGTCTGGCAACCTTCAGGCTGAGCACTTGTAAACAACAGATGTTCATAACTGGGATCTTTTGGAAGAGAAGGGCAGGGAGCAGCATGGATGTCCATGCTTGTAATTCTCAAAATTTGCAGTTAACACTGAGCTGTGTCAGGGAAAATCAGAGCTCGAGCTGAATGAGCAGCTTGCAGAGAAGTTCAGCTTTAATTTTCCTTAAAAGCCAAATGGTTTCTTTAAAGCAAAGATGATACAGGCTTGTGAGGGAGGTATTGACAGAAGCATTTGGGTCATGTGGACTTCAATTACATTATCATCGTTATGATAATGTTTGTAATAATAATAATGATGATGATGATGATAGTAAAAAACATTGTCATAGGCTATTTTGACCTGTGATTCTTTTTGATGAAGCTGAGTCCTGCACATTTTTGCCCGAGTCTGTCAAGTACCAGCGTTTGGGAGGTTTTTCTAAGCATGAAACATTCATTTATTCAGTGACCTCCTTGAATGCAGAGAGCCAGGGAGACGTGACCAGGGAAAATGGATGGAAAGCCTCAGGGGGGGATTTCTGTGCTGCTTTTCATCATATCAGTGATCCCAGTCTCGCCCTGTGTTGCTTGGTGTGATTGCAGCCACTGTTGCCAGAGTGCAAAATTCAGAGAGGTTTGAAATAGTGTTTACAACAACAATTAAATCTCTGCTCTGCCCCTTGGCCTGGCTCCAGCTCCCATGGTTTGCAGGGTGGACTGTTTTGGGATGTGTTTTGGGTCTGGAAGTGTCCATTGAACACCCCTAGGGAGCAGGTCCTGAAAATTTTGGGGAGGTGGAACAGGAAACTTCTGATGTTGTGTGTTACCACCAGGAGACTTGTTTTAAAACCATCATTCGCAGGAAGGGTTGTTGGGAAAGTTTTCTGCTCCCATGGACAGTGTGATGTCCATTGGAGAGGAGACCCTTCGTGAGGATCTGAGGGGGGGATAGGTTCAAATGGAAAGAGGAGAAGTTTGTGTTGGATGTACAGAAGAAATCCTTCCCTGGGAGGGTGGGGAGGCCCTGGCACAGGTTGCCCAGAGAAGCTGTGGCTGCCCCATCCCTGGAAGTGTCCAAGGCCAGGCTGGACAGGGCTTGGAGCAACCTGGGCTAGTGGAAGGTGTCTCTGCCCATGGCAGGGGGTGAGAGCTTTAAGGTCCCTTCCCACCCAAACCATTCTGTGATTCTGTGTTCATTCATTTAAGTGTTTATTTAGTTATATTTTAATTCTCATCTGATTCATTCCCTTGTCTGGTGCTCCTTATGGAAACCCAATATTCCTATTCCTGATTTGTGGATGTGGTTTTTGAATTTTTCAAATTTTTAATCACTTTTTTTTTAATTATTTTTTTGTTTGTTTGTTTTGTTGTTTTTTTTAATCTATTTTGTGTTTTCTGCTGTTACTTTGCAGTGCCCAACTCTGTGTCACTGTCGTCTGTCTCTCTCTCTCCTGCTTGCCTTAAAGCAGACAAATCTTGGATTGTCTGCAAGGTCCTTGTATGAATGAGTAATTTAATTAAGACATTTCAGATATTTGAGGCTCAGCCTTCCCTTCTGATCTTTTGAGACCAGCTGAAAACTTTGAAGTGGAAGTTGCACAGGACCCCATCAAGATAACGCCCGAGAAACCACAGAGCTTCATACTTTGTGGTTCCCTAAAAATCTGTGCACAACTTCCTCTTCCTGCTCCCAAACACCCCTGATTGCTGTGATCTGGTGTAATTTAGGCTAACCTAAATAAACTCTCCAGATTCACTATCATCACACCATCTTTATGTGAGTATAAATAGTGCTTGAAATAAACCTGGATCTTGGCGTCTTCCTCCTCCTCCTCTTTCTTCTCCTCGTCCCCTTCACAGGGCAGGGGGAGTTTGACTCCAGCAGTTGTTGTGAATGTGAAGTTGCCAGCACTTTGGGAAAATTCATATCCAAGTCCTAAAGTTTTGGGTTGATCTCATCAGTTTTTATCACTTCAGGGTGAACACTGACTCCGTCATCCTGCGGAATGGGTGGAAATGGAGCTTGTTCTTGGTCGTACCCAGCGGTCCCTGTTGCATATTTTCCTTCCCCTTTTCACCCCTCCTCTGTGGTGACATGAAACTGGAAGCAGGGTGTATTTGCCAGCTCCTTTGAGGATTCAAATGGTTAATGAAAATCACAATTTGCCTCTCTGCCATCTGCTCGTGGTTACGATTGAAAAGGGTTTGCTGTAAACAGTTGTAGAACTTCTGCTCCGTGTTGTGAAAACTGTGGCCACGTTCCACCCCAGGAAATGCTGCAGTTTTAGAGGTGCTCTAAGCTGTGTGGAGTTTTAAAGGCTTCTTGGAAGGTTTGAAGCAAGTCACTGCCTCTTTCCTTTTCTGTTTCATTCCTGCCTTTCTCTGCTTTTTGCTGGGAAAATCGTCGCTAGCAAATAACGGGGAGGTTTTGCCTCCCTTCCTGTAAAAACCTTGTCATGGAGACATCAAACCTGTTCAACAGCAAAGGGCCATTTCAAGGAGGCACTGAAGGGGTTAGTGAACCCGTCAGACACCGGGAAATTAAAGGAATTTAAGTGAAAAACCTCGAAATGTGCAGAGCTGGGGCTGCCTGGGGTTGAGCTCCGGGTGCGGCGCTCGCGGCGCATCCCAAGGTGACAATCCCGGCCGCGGATTGGAAACATGTGGGGTTGGGATTTATTTTTTTCCTGCAGGATGGCCTTTCATGTGTAACCACATGGAGTGTGTCAACAACCCATCTGGCGCCATTAGACACCAGTGATTTTACTCACCAGGCTTTTCATGGGCTCCTGGTATTCCTGCTATGTGCTGCCTTAGAATAGCTCGGGGTGTTGTGGCAGGGCAGGCTGGACAGCTGGGAATTGTCCAGTTAACTATTGCATCTCTTCTGGTTCCCCCTGGTGCTTCAGTTTGCTTTGGGAAGCAAGGCCCTTGTACCTGCTCTCTGCTCCTCTCCATGCATTCATAACTCGTGGTCCTCGAGGCTCTCAGCTCTTCCAAGCTGCTCGTGGTGGGGTTGGACTGACGGTCCACTGGGGATGTTGAGGCAGGATTTTGAACAGCTAGAACAAGGTCAGCTGGTGGAGAGTTTGAGCTTTTTGTTCCTAAGTTTCATTCCCAAACTCTTCATGGTCGTTGGTTGATTTTTCCCTTGTAGCTCTGCCAGCTTTAGAGGGCAAACACTGAGTCAGTGGGTGAAGTGCTGTGACATCATTGGTGTGAAGGAGCAAACCAGCCAGCTTTTAATATCTTATAGTCCTGTCCTTCATAAACTTTCCTTTATATGCTTTCTTCTGCCTGAACCACAGGTTGTTGGCAGGGTTGGTGGCTCTTCATTTGGCCTGTACACCTCTGACCCAGCACTGCTCCTTGGAGAAGCTCCTCCTGGAGATGCTGTTTCTCCTCCTGCCCTCTTTTTAGTGGAAGAAAAAACCCTTAATGTGTTCATTACCTTCTCTTGTGGTGGCAGCTCTTATCTCTGTCTCAGCAGGCTCAGAGCACATGGCTCCTGCTCTGCTTTGCTCATCACTTTGGCTGCAGCCTGGTCAGCACCCAAAGATTCCCAATTCTATTATGTAGCTCTCACAGTCACTAATTAGCTCTGTGGCACATTAAGAAAACGAGCATTATGCTGCAAACACTGGCTGCAGATGAGGGGCAGCTATTTGATTTACAAGGCTCAACATCTGGCAGTTTGAACCTTGTACAGTTCTGCACTTGGATCATTCCATCTGGGTTTGTACCTGCAGTGCAGGACGCTGGAATACGAAGGAAAATACTGTCTCTAAATTAAATCTGTGCCTTCTCATGTTTTTTGTTGTTTTTGTTTTTTTTTTTTACCTCAAAAAGCCCAGAGTCCTTTTTATATCCCCTCCCACTACACACACACTCTCCAAACATTGAAGCAGTTGAGAGGCACAGGCTGCAGTCATTCCTGAGCTTTTCTTTTTTTTTTTTTTTTTGGAAAAAAAGCATCGAGCTCAGCCCTTCTGAACTGTTCTTCTTTATCTAAAATTATCCATATTGCACCACAAATCCAACCGCTGATGTCATGAGAAGGGTAATCAAAGTCTGCCCTGGCTTAGTTTTCCCATTTTCCCAATGTCAGACATTTCTTGCAGCAGAGATTGCTGTCCTTTCAAGTGCAGAATATTCCCTTTTCAATGGAAATTAAACCACATTTCTTTTTAAGAGGAAAGAAATCCGATCCAGTCACGTACAACAATCAAGGAGAGCTTTGGCTTTGCACCACAGATCTGACTTGGTCTTTTCTAAATAAATATTATTGTGCTGTAAATGAATGATAAACAGACCTAGGGAGAAGTAAGTGATGTTTTTAAGGCTCCACCTGGATGTGCCAGTTCCAAGCACTGCTGGAGCACCTCACACGATCCCTGCTCACCTCCCTGCTTTTATCTGGGATAAAATGGTGCCCCCAAAAAATGACTTACTCCTTTCAGCAGATGAAATGCTGATCCAAAGAAACTGAGGTTCCTCTCATCTCCCTTTGTATTGCTTATTTGCAGGGTGCATCAGCCATAATAAGGTGGAGAAGGTTCAAAGATGAGAAAATAAAGCTGCTTGTGCGAGTGTTTCTGTCTCTTTGGCTCAGGACAGATAGAGATGCTTTCACATAATTGGGTTTGTACATGAAACACAACATTCTGTTTCCCATGCAGATGCTTATTTAGCCAACTGGGTGCTTGAAATCTTTTTATTGTGGTTAAGACACAAATGCTCGAGACAGGACCGTGAAACCTGTTGTCAGACACTGGAGCCACCAGTCTCCCTCAGGCACTGATTTATGCACAAAATCCTGGACTCAGAAGGAAAAATTAAAGCCTGCATTTGGCACACTGCAGCCTGCATTTGCAGGATCTGTTTGCTGGGGGGACAAAAGCCTGTGGCCACGGGAATGGAGGGAGATGCAGCTGAGGGGGTGTTTTCTGTGTTTTCCTCTGCTCTCCTCTCCCTCAGCAAATCCATCCATCCCAGGGCTGCATTTCCAGCGTTTATGGACACAGAACATCACGAGCAGAATCGTTGTGTTCACCTCAGGTGAGTCCTACCCAATTTTTTCTGTTTTGTGCCCTTTCTAGGAAGGATCAGAACGTGCTGTCGCCAGTGAACTGCTGGAACCTGTTGCTCAATCAGGTGAAGAGGGAGAGCAGGGACCACACCACCCTCAGTGACATCTATCTCAACAACATCATCCCTCGCTTTGTGCAGGTCAGCGAGGACTCAGGACGCCTCTTCAAGAAGGTATCTGAGACTTTTTTGTTCCACTGATTTATTGTTGCCTGTGCTGAACACCTGAGCTTTTATTCCTCTTGACTTTTAATTTTTTTCAGTAACTTAATTCTTCTAGCATTTTAGGATTTTCCCAGATGAGGCCAGTTGAGATTTGTTGGTCTAAATTCAGGCCATAGTTTTTTTTCTCCTCTTAACCTGCTCGCGGTTTCGTATGGATGTTGAAACTTTAATTAAATAAGCAGAAGTGCTTCAGGTCTTCAGCTCTGAACATAGTCAAGAACAACTCTCAAAAGACAGAATTACATCTGCCATGGAGGAGAAATTGCTGTTAAAACTTAGGGAGAATTCCTGCTATGCCAGACAATAAAAGGGTATATTGTCATTCTCTGGAAAAAGGAAAAGATGTAATTGAAGTCTCTTTTGTTTGCCTTCTCCCCTTTCTCTCCCCTTGATTTCCACCTGGGAAGAAAGGTGGGACAGTGTGGGAGGGTTTTGCTATTAAGAATCTGTTCTTCCAGTTAAAGAAACACGATATGGAAGCTTTGAAACTCCTGTTCCCTGGTCTCTGCAGAGATTTGCCCGTCGCTGGAACATCTGCTGCTTAACATGTTGAAATCATTGCAGCTCTAAACTTTGAAAGCCATTTCTCTGCCCCCACCCCCTTGCAATGTGTCAGGAGCTCGGGGAGTTTATTTCTATTCTTGCAAGGCCTGGAGAGGGGAAAGAGTGTTCAGATATTTCTTAACCTCTCCCTGTTGCCCGAACTGCTGGAGGAAGTCTATAAAATGCAGTTTGTTCAGGCTGCTAGAAAATGAGCAGTGCTCAATATTGTGTGAGATATTTCGTGTCAAGATGCACTTGAAGGAGCAGCATCTCTGTGTTACCTGGAGAGCAGGATGAATTTGCTCTGTTGCAGCAGGATTTTGTGTGTGTTGTGATTTCTAGGGAAAATGAAAATCAGTGCAAGTGCACTGTGGGGTTCCTTGTCCTCTGCCTATTCCCTGAGTTTTTAATGGAGTATGAAAAATACATTCAACTGTTACACTCTGTTTCTCTTACACTTCTTTATTTTTAAGTCATTGCCCAAGCAGAGGAGGGATCTTTCTCATTTTCAAGTAACGTCACACTGAGGCCTTTTTGACCTTTTAAAACTTTCTGGTAATTACATTATGGTTGATTAGATACTTACACGGGATTATTGAATGGCAGTTACTCTTCAATTCCTCTAATCCTTCCAAAGGAGAAGTAATCTCCCCACAGAATTTCAACAAGGGCTGTGCTTGAGCAAAGTGGCCTGGAAAATGCCTTGGCAAAGTGGAACATGGAAATGGATATTATCCCACTTTGACTGGGAACTGGCATCTTCATTTTCAGCCCCTTTATAAAACAGGGCAAACCCGTGGTTGTGCTTTATTTTGGGCTGCAGGACTGGAATGAAAACAAATAAATAACTGATCAGCAACAAAATACACCTCTGGTTTCTTTCTCACAGACCGAGGGCAAGCTCCATATTTATAATTTGAGCAAACAAAAGGCACTTGTTAATAAATCCCAGCTACTTGTTGCCTGACTGTTTGCCAGGAATATCACATTGGCTGAAGGCCAAAGCAGGTATTTGATTACTATTCCACTTGTGCTGGGTGGTTAAAAACAAAAATTGCATTCTCTCTTATCTGGTAGCAGCTGATAAATAGAGAAATTTGGCTGAACTTGGATCTGCTGCTGCTTGTGCTTTTTCACTGGAATCCCTTCCCTTCCTGAGCTGTGAGGAGCAGCAGGAATTGGTACAAAAGGTACTGCAGATTAGAAAACAGATGAGGTGTGTGGTTAAAATATTGCAAATCAGCTTTATCATCCATGGATTTGAAGAAATGTTACCTGTATATGAAACCCTTCTGCAGCATGTTCATAATATATCCCAAAAGCAGCACAAAGAATTGTCAGAATATCTTTGGACCATGAGCAGACAAAATGGTACCTTTTCTACCTTTTCCTGGATGAAAAAACAGGGACAAGTGGATCAAGTCACTTCTCCAGGGTTGTTCACTCAGGCTGCCTTTCTGATCAGTGTCTGTAGGTATTGATGGGGAATTATTCAGTGGCTTGGCAGCATATTTAGGAATGACATGTATTTTTGTGCCTCTGCAACCACATCAGCCCAAAGGGAAACTCCTCCTGTTGATGAGGAATCGCTGAAGAACTTTCTCTTCCCTCTCCCCTTAGGATCTCCCAGCCTTTTTAAAAATTTGAGGCATCCTTTCCTATTTTTCAGTGGAGAAGAGCTGCTGTAGTGTGTGACAGCTCAGAAAGCCGAGCTCTTTTTATCTGCCTTGAAGCAGATGGAGTTTATACAGGAGCTACATGGAAAATAAAGCCACTGTGCCACGCTGCAAACCCTCCCACGGAGCTGGGCAAGGCAGATCTGGAGGTCCTGATCAAAACCCAAATGAGAGTGAGTTCCAGGGGCATAGCTGGCTGAGTGTGCTGCTGCAGCTCAGAAAATTTTATGTGGCTTCTCCACAGACCTAATTAGCCAGGCCATGGCAGTGAAATAACTGGCTGTGTTGCTTCTGAGACCGGAGTTTCCTGCCTCTCCTGTGCCAGGCAGTCGTTCCAGCTCGTTCTCTGGTTCTACACCATCTCCTCTCTGCTCTAACCATGCACTGCAGTTTAATGAAGTGCAGCCTTAGCTCAGGTGCTGTCAGGGCACTCAGGTTTAGTTTAAGACAGGAGCTTATTTTTTTCTGTTTTCCAGTGAAAATGGTAGCTGTTGGAATTGTGGTGCCAGTCTTGCTGCTGGTTTGGGAGCTCTCTGCCCTTGTTTCATGGAGACTCCTTGTTAAAAACAAGGACACTTCATTATTTTAGAGTCTGAGAAATGTTCTTTTTTCACACTCCTCTTTGGAAAACAGCTTCTAAAAGAGTTATACATGTGTCTGGCTGATTGCAGGTGCTCTGGCAACTTATATTTAGGAACTACTCACCGGGTTGTAAATAATGCTTTGAAATATGGAGAGGAGAGCAGCACAGAGATCCTCCTCTGCTGAGGGCAATGGAAATCAAATCCTGGGGCACAAGATCCTTTTCTTGGGCCATTTGTAACTCAGGGCTTCCTCGAATCAGTGTTTTGTGTCATGCTGGGGTGGAGCAGGTGAGCAGGGAAGAAAGGATGTGCTCAAGGTCCCTTTTGTTGCTCAACTCTTGAGCTGCTGTATCTCGCCCTGTGTGAAGTGGAGAGCTTTTTCAAAGGGAATCTGAGTACAGTGTGCAGCTGTAATCCAACCTGAGGGCAGCAAAGGGCCTGGCTGGGTGTGATAAGGTCTGTGCTGGGAAGGAAATGCATCCTCCTGGCAGCAGTGGGAGCTGGAGCAGCACAGAGCCTGAGGTGGGAACACCAGGCCCTTCTCCCTGGCCAGAAGAACATCAGCAGTGGTGGCAGCGTGTGGGGTTTGACTCTTCCAGTGACTGGGATGGAGAATCCTCAGGCTGAGGTTCTCATGTGCTCCCCCTGGACCCCTCAGACCACTCTGCAGCGGGCACAGCAGAGCTTGGCTGGGTCTGTCTTAAAATCATCGAACCCCCCAAATTCCAGCAGTGGTGCCTGCACTGCACACAGGTTTCCAAAGGCTTTGTGTTGGCAGTGTTGGGATGTCCTGGGAAGCCTGCCTGGTCTGTGGCTGTGTCTCCCAGTGTTCCTGTCCCTGGGTTGGGATGGGATCCCTCTCCAGGGCTGTGTGACGACGTGGAGGGTCCCGATTGTTTGGGTGTTGGATGGAAGCCTGGCAGCCACTTCAAAGGGATCTGTGCTGATAAGAGGAGCTGTGTTTGCTGCCAAAGCCAGCACTGAAGTGGTGCTGGATGAACAGTGTGTGTCAGCCCCTTTCTTCCTGCCCCTGGCATTTGTTTATTCCTTGGTTACCTCTCCCTGCAGAACCTTTCCATGGCTGAGCACTGTCTGCACCAAATGTGGGTTTATATGTAATTAGAGAATAAATTATGTGCTGCAGGTTTATATCTTATTGGGAACTCGCAACCTGAGCTGTAGGAATTCTTGGAGCACTGTACTTTTCCGTGCCCTTTGTTTTGTGCTGAGGAAACTCTTTTGGGGGTCAGTCAGAGAGGCTGTTGGTCAGGGACTTGCTGCTCCAACAGTCCTGCAGATGAATCCTGGTGGGATCTGGGATTTGTCTGACCCCAGGGACAGTGTCAGTGCAATTCTGTGCTACTGCAAAGAAAAGGAAGATAAATGGTGAAATAACCACCTTCTCCAGCAAATAAAACCAGGGGGAGCCAATGGAATCATCCAAATAACAAATAGTTACACCTTGGGAAGGGGGTTATATTTTCTTGTTTGTGCAGCAGTTAATGATTTAGCCCTGGGTTTTGTACAAGGCTGAAGTTCCAAGCCCGTGTGCCACCGGGTGTTGCTATTCCAGTCACCTCTCCCTCTCCTGCAAGATGATCCTGCTTTGATGTCTGTTCTCCTTTTCATTCCTTCATCTCCTTTTGTGGAGAGCACTCCTTTGATTTCCTCCTGCTTATCCTCCTTCAGCGTGGCCCTTTTATTTATTTATTTCAATATTTCTTTATGTCTTTATTTATATATATATATAAAATATTTTCCTTTTTGAACTGATTCCCACTTTGATTTCCCCTTTTCCCTCTATCCCCCTGCCACCCTCTCTATTTAATGTGACCCTTCATTTCTCTGCACAGTACAACCTTTCTGTTTCTTGCATGGTTATCAGGTTCTCTTTTGCCTCCAGATGTATCTTTTGAGTGGGATCCCTTGGGATTATTTATACATGTATAGCCTTTTGAGCAGCAGTCTCTTTAATTTGGTATCTTTAATCACTCTTTCTCCGTTGTCTCTTTGAGGTTTCCCTAGAAGCAGACTGATAACCTTGTTCAAATTTAAGGAAAAAAAATAGCTTTTTTGAAAGAACAGACTGTGGAAGCTTCAGCCACTTGGAGTAGTTCATGAACAAACTGATTTTTTTTTTTTTTTT